AAAGCATGCACACGTGCTCGAATGCACATGTGTTTATGGGGTTTTGGTTTTTTTAAAGAATTTAATAAAGTAGTTCCACAATTCATATTAAAAGAACAAAATCAACGTGATCTTGAAAAAGAACAAAGCTGAAGAGATCACACATCTTGATTTCAAAAAGACAGTAATTAGAACAGTGTGTTGGTGGCATATGGACAGAAAACTACATCAATGGGACAAAATGATGGGACCAGAAAGGTATTCCTAAGGTGGTCACACTGGGGGCAGAAGATCAAGGCAAATACATTAACTGAACCTCATCAAAGTTTAAAACATTTGAAACTAAAAATATAAATCTCGCTATAAAACAATTTTTTTGAAGATAGATTTATTTATTTATTATGTGTACAGTATTCTCAGTATTCTGTCTGCATGTATGCCTGCAGGCCAGAAGAAGGCACGAGATTTCATTACAGATGGGTGTGAGCCACCATGTGGTTGCTGGGAATTGAACTCAGGACCTTTGGAAGAGCAGGCAGTGCTATTAACTGCTGAGCCATCTCTCCAGCCCAAATGTGTAGCCCAGGCTGGCCTCGAACTCGTGATCCTCCTGCCTCTGTCTCCTTCAGTGAATCCTACCGGCGTGTGCCACCACAACCAGCTATAAAACAATTTAAAAATTCATTTAAGAGGACAGAAAACTGTAAACAAAATACATAAATCTTTTTTTAAAGATTTATTTATTATGTATACAACATTCTGCCTCCATGTATGCCTGCAGGCCAGAAGAGGGCGCCAGATCTCATTACAGATGGTTCTGAGCCACCATGTGGTTGCTGGGAATCAAACTCAGGACCTCTGGAAGAGCACCCAGTGCTCTTAACCGCTGAGTCATCTCTCCAGCCCCCAAAATACATAACTCTTAAAAAAAAATCCATTTAAAAAAATGAGGGGGCTGGAGAGATGGCTCAGTGGTTAAGAGCAGTGGCTGTTCTTCCAGAGGACCTGGGTTCAATTCCCAGCACCCACACGACAGCTTACAACTGTCTGTAACTCCAGTTCTTGAGGATCTGATATGACACCTTCACACCAATGCACATGAAATAAAGTGAAACAAATTATTTTTAAAAAAATTAGTCAAGAATGTGACTAGGTAGAGGTGGGGATGTAGCTCAGTTAGTAGAGTGCCCAGTGCCAAATAAAACTGGGTGAAAAGTGACACATACCCGTAATCACAGCACTGTACTAAGCGGAGGCAGGTGTATCAGAAACTCAAGGTCATCCTCAACAACCACTGAGACAAGACTCAGCTGAGTTTAAGAGCCTCAGTTGCTCAAAAAAAAAAAAAAATCTCACAAATGGCAAAAAAAAGAAAAATAAAAAAAAAAGCTCTTGGGAAGCAGAGACAATCAGATATTTGTGAGTTTGAGGCCAGGCTGGTCTACAGAGTAAGTTCCAGAACAGTGAGGACTATACAAAGAAACCCTGTCTTGAAAAACAAAACAAAACAAAAAATCAAACCCCAACCATGTTCAACATTAGCCATTAAGGAAATGCTTGCCAAACTACAATGAGATACCATTTCAGATCTACAAAGATGTCTACAGTAAGATAGACAATGCTAAATACTGACAAAGATAATGGAGAAAATGGACCCACACACATTGCTGATAAAAGGTGAAACTGTAGACACGACTTTAGAAAACCATTTGGTAGCATTTCCTCACAAAAGTGAATTCACACCTGACCCAGCAATTATAATCCGGGTGTTACGAGACTTGAAAATGTATGCTCACATGCTACACATACTATTCATAGCTAAATCATACGGTACAGCAAAAAAAAAAAAAAAAAAAATACTATTCATAGCTAAATCATACGGTACAGCAAAAAAAAAAAAAAAAAGGACGACCCCCCCCAATGTCCAAATGAATAAATGATGGCAAACCCATACTAACGGCAAAAATAAAGAGCCACATATCCTGAGACTCCATACAGAATGTTCAGAACAGGCAACTCCATATAATCAGCAAATACACTAATGGCTGCCAAGGGGCTGGAGGTAGGTTACTAGAAAAGACAGCTTCCAAACAGGTGTTTTTGGGAAACAGAGAAACCAGAGAAAATGTTCTAAACTGAATGTGGTGCTGATTCTGTCTCATGAATACATATTTTAAAAAACATTGGCACGTAAATTACCTCAAATCTGTTTCTGGTCACACCTTCAACTTAATTGATAAAAACAAAAACAAATGCAGGCAGTCAGTCACTTGGGAGGTTGGCGCAAGACATCACAAATCCAAGCCCTGTCGAGGCCACAAAATAAACTCAGGGCTAATTCGGGCAACTTAGCTTCAAGACAAAAAGGGTGTATAGAGCAGTGGTAGAGACCCTGTCTAGCACATGCAATTCCCTAGTACAGCAGGAACAAACAACGTATAAGGAGAGGTTACGACTTTATTTAACACGTATCTATTTTGCAGGGCTGTGGACAGAAACCCCGGGCCTCAGACACGCCATCCAGTTACACCCCTAGACCACATCATGCTCTCATTATATACCCACACGTATTCCTAGTATCCCCTATCGGGTTAAGAACCCTGCAGAAAACGCCAAAGTCTGGGCAGTCAAAAAAGCCACACCGAAGCTTGTCAATGTAACGGCCCCCAGGTGGTTCTTCGTTTCAATCACAAATGACACCTTGTCAAAACACCAAACCTTTCACCTGTAAACCTCAGTTTACTCATTCTTAAAACGCAACACCCGTTCAGTGGTGTTTGGGGGAAACACACACACACACACACGAAAACGTTGGCCGCGTGCCAATTGCACCATCTGGCGCAGAGGTGTGAGACAGAGGTTATCTGTGTATAGCGTTGGATTTGATGCCAAATCTTTTATCTTTGCATTTTCACCGTGACCAACTGGTAGGAGCATTCCTCATCCGCTTCCACGTCTGCAGAAGTCTACCCGAGGCCCCGAGACAGCGTGTGTCGCCGAGCCTGAGAACCTCGGTTCGATTCCTGAGCATGGTGGAAGGACAAAAACCGACTCAGGCGAGCGGTCCTATGAGCTCCACTCGAGCCCTGACAATAATTGTTTAAAAAAAAAAAAAGCCAACGCCAAAAGACCACTGTGTGAGAAAAAAAAAATTAAGAACCTGGCGTACAGCAAAACAAAAACAAAGAGAGAGTCCCTTCCTTTCCGTGTCCCTTGACTCTCGAGCATCACCTCCAGCTCCCGCGTGCACCCAGACCAGAAGCCGCACGATGTCCGTACGCACCGGCCACACACACAGGTGGACCAGCGCGTCGGGAAGCCATCTTTCCCAGTCAGACGATCACGGTCACACCCTCCCGTGCCCGACAGCCGGGTCCCCGCACAAAGGCAGCCTCCCCTCCCCCGCCACCCCGACTCCCGGCCCCGGGGACCGGCGGCTGGGCCCGGCCTCACCTTCGCTCGCTTGCGCCGGCTGGTCCGTCGGCCCTCCGGGGTCTCGGCTATCCCCGTCTCCATGGGCGTCGCGGAGCCGGGCCCGGCCGTGGGCCCCGCCTGAGGCCCGGCGGACCCGGGAGGCTCGGCAAGGCCCCCGGGCGGCGAGGCCCGCGGAGGCTCCTTCTTTCGAGGCGTGCGCTCGCCTGCCACCCCCGTGGCGACGTCCGTGGGGCCCGCCAGGCCCACGGTTGGCGCGGCCACCTCAGAGCCGTTCTCGGCGCCGCCCGTCGCCCCGGGCCCGGCCTCCGTCCCAGCCGCCGCTGCCGCCGCCGCTGCCGCTGCTGCCGCCGCCGCCTTCTTCCCCGACAACATCTCGGGCCGCCTGGCCGCCGCGGGCCGCAGGGGCCGCTCGGACTGCCGCTCCGTGGGTCCGCAGCCGCCTAGCCTTGCAGCTCCGCACCTCACACGCTCCGGGAGAAGCCAGACACCTCCGCGTGCGCACGCGCCCTGCGCGCTCCCGCCGCGTCAGGACAAAAAGCCGCAGCTGTGCCCCCGCCCGGCCTCCTCGCGGCCATAGAGCGCGTCCTGGAGGCTAGAGCGGAGACCGGAGTGAGGCCGAGGTAGAGCGCCCCCTGCTGTAGGGAGGCGGCTAATACCATTAAGTCTAACTGCAGGGCAAGGGTTGGATTATGGAGTTCTGGCTTTCAGAGAGTTTACCACCTAAGTGAGACGGGGGGGGGGCGGGGGGGGAGGAGGGGGACACGCCCAGAAGGACGACTTAATTAATGATCGCTTAATTATCCTACGCTGTATTACTCAACCTTAGAGCACTTGCCTTGTTTGTATATGGCCCTGGGTTATACCGAGCGTTGGGGGACTTCATAACCGCCCAGCTTGGACTGGGGGGGGGGGGGGGGGGGGGATGAAGAGTGCACGAATTTCCACGGTAATAAGATTGAAGAAATGAGGAAATCCTGGTTTGAGTCAAAGCGAGACTCTCTCTTGACGCCAAGCCTTGTTCATTTTGTTTCTTGGGTCAGGACACCGTCCTCATCCACACTCCCCAGCATGCCCCCTCCATGTCCTTGTCTCCGGGCTTGGAACACCTTTTTTACGTAAGTCACCTCTTCCTTAAGTGTTGCTGGGGGTTTTATTCGTGGGATGTTGAGATGTATGGGAAGTTGAGTGTGGGTGGTGGTGTGGGGGTAATCACCAAGGAAGACTGCTCGAACCGGAGTTTAAGCTAGTAGAAAACCTTTATTAGCCGGCTGGCCACTACTGGGTGTTCCGGATTGCAGTGTAGGCCCCAGCCTTTCTCCGGGTGAGCTCTTAAGCCCAAAACACCATGTTCTGGGTTGACACACTTCAGTTAACAAGAAAAGTTAGCCAGAAGCAGAACCACAAAAGCCAAAAGGCAAGGCTAGTGCTTATTCAAGAGCTATGGACTTGGATGGATTAGGCCTTTGTTTTGGCAGATGGTGCTGTCTATGGGCTGAGTTTTACAGCCTGAATGGTACTTTTCACCATGGAGTCAGTTGTGCTAGCGACCCAGGGCCTCCTAAAGTCTGGGCCCTTTCTCTCTCTCTCTCTCTCTCTCTCTCTCTCTCTCTCTCTCTCTCTCTCTCTTTCTTTCACGGTGGGGAAGTTGACTGCCAAACAGTAGGTGGAATTTTACTGGAGGGAAATCCCATCCTGGGGTTAGGGTGATGTTTACAGGGGTGTAAGGATCCATCAGAACTCATTGAACTACACGAAAAGTCCTTAAAGGAAAAAATGCAAGAAAAAATGTAATCACAGTACAACGTATGTCTTGTGTGTGAATCTTGTCCCAAATCAACAATGTTGTGCCTCTGGTAGAATTACACTCAGGGAATGGAGATGAGAGCAGTTTAGGGAAGGGCCGAGAATGTGGGCTGTGGGAAAGGCTGCCCGGGGCCAGCTAAGCCCTGCCCTCTCATCACACAGCGCATAATGTCCAAAAAACATAAGCACATTCCTCTCCCTTCTCTCTAGTGGCCGGCAGCCTCTGCCCCTATGAATCTGAACTAGCTCATCTTTCAAGATACACAGTCAGGCAGGGGAACCACGGCAACAGGAACAAGCTGGCCACATCAGGTCTACTGTCAGGAAGCAGAGAGGGATGAATGTGTGGGCAGTTCAGCTCCCTTTCTCCATCTCCTATAGGCGAGCCTTCCCGCTTCAATTAACATAGTAAAAACACGCCCACCAGAGGTGAGCCACTAAGGCTAACTAACCATCACTGTGTGCAAGCACTCAGCGCTGAACTACATCTCCAGCACATTCTATTTACCCGTTCATTTATCAATGCAGAGTTGATTGCTTCAAACTTTTGGCTTTTATTCCTTTTCCTTTTTTGTTTTCTTTTGGTTTTTTTTTTGTTGTTGTTGTTGTTTTTGTTTTTCGAGACAGGGTTTCTCTCTAGCTTTGGAACCTGTCCTGGAGTTCACTCCATAGACCAGGCTGGCCTTGAACTCCACAGAGATCTGCCTGCTGGATTTAAAGGCCTGTGCCACCACTGCCCAGCCCTTTCCCTTATTTTTAAAAGCTTTTAAAACTGGGTGTAGTGCCTCAATCCCAACACCCAGGAGGCAGAGGCAGGCAGATTTCTGTGAGTTCAAGGCCAGCCTGGTTTACAAAGTGAGTTCCAGGACAGCTAGGGCTGTTATACAGAGAAACCCTGTTATATATATATAAAGATTTGTGGTGTGTGTGTGTCTGCCTACTGTAACATTGGTTTGGAAGTCATAGGCAACCTGCAGGAGTCAGTTCTCCCCTTCCACAACGTGGGTCCCAGTGGTTAAACGCAGGCAGTTTGTCATGTTTACCTACTGGGTCACCTCACTAATATACACACACATTTAAAAAGTTAACATCTGCCAGGCATGGTGGCTCGTGCCTGTAATCCCAGCATGCAGGAGCCTGAGGCATGAGGGCCACACATTCTAGAATAGCCTGGCCACACAGGAAGATGTCTCTCAAAAAAAATCAAACAAAACAAAAAAGTTATTGTCTTAGTTAGGGCTATTATTGCCGTGGTGAAACACCATGATCAAAAGCAGCTTGGGGAGGAAAGGGTTTATTTGGCTTGTTCTGCCTCATCACTGCTTTTCACTGAAGGAAAACAGGGCAGGAACCTGAGGGCAGGGGCCGATGCAGGGGCCACGGAGAGGAGCTGTTCACTGGCTTGCACTCTCTGGATTGCTCATCCTGCCTTCTTAGAGAACCCAGGACCACCAGTCCAGGAGTGGCACCACCCACAATGGCTGGTTCCTTCCCCATCAATCACTCATTAAGAAAACTCCCCAGGCTTGCCTACTTCTCAGTCTTAAAGAGGCATGTTCTTATTTGACTTCAGCTGTGTGTGTGTCAAGGTGACATAAAGTTACCCAGCACAGTCAGCAAGCTAGTATCCGACTTTACATAGTCAGGCCACTAATCAACATTAAGACGTTAATTAAGGGCTGGGGGGGGGGCAGTTGCATGTGTAAAGTGCTCGCTGTGCAAGCACAAGGACGTGAGTTTGATTCCTAGCACCCGGGGGAAAAGCCAGGTATGAGTGAACACTTGCAGCCCCAGCACCGGGGAGATGGAGACTGGAGAATCCCTGGGAATCTGTGAGTCCCAAATAAGGTGGAAAAAAAAAGGTGGAAGACTCCTGAGGAATGATAGCCAACGTCGTTCTCTAGCCTACACACACACACACACACACACACACACACACACACACACACAACTAAAGACAAAAGTAAGCAGGAAGTGCCACTTAGTGGGTAAAGGTACTTGCTGACAAGCCTGGCAACCCGGGTTGGATCCAGGAGACCCACACGGTGGAATGTTCTCAAGCAGTCACACATACACAAACAATAAATAAGTAGACTTTTAAAAGCAAATCAGGCGTACGGCCTCCATGGACTATGAGCATGCACACAGCAGTCTGCTTGCCTTATCTCCACGGTATGGCTAAGTTTCCTTTGCCATCCCTCCCCCGTTATGAGAGCGGGTGATCTGGTGGCATTGGCCGGTTTGTTCCAGAGGGCCGGTTTGTTCCAGAAATCTTCAGTGAGAAGGGCACTGCTGAAATCTACATCACTAGGCTGCCATAACATGTCCGGAGATGACGCCTGCAAGCTGCCTGCCAGAGAGCCTGACAGCAGGGGGCCCTTAAGACATAGGAGTACATATTGTTATGTGACAACCAGGGTGGGGGTGGGGAACTGGTTATGAATCAGAGGAGCGGGTGGCCCTGCCTCCTGTCATGGAGGGGACTGCAGCAGGGGCCTGGGCCCCTCTGTGCCATAATGCTGGGGGACCTGATATTTTTTCTGAGGAGTTTCCATGGGTTTCTTGCTTCTTCTGGCACCACAGGAGCCATCTTGGCTTGGTTGATAAGCTTTAAGCCAGCCTTGTTTGGCTTCCTCTTCCTTCTGCTATTGCTCAGCAACTGGCTAGTCAAGCATGAACTCAATCAGGCTCCCTGCCAGCCCCAGACGGTGTGCCAGAGGGCCCAGACGGTGAGCAAGAGGGTGCTTAGCTTCAACTGTGGGTTACGAGACACTCAGAGCTGGACTGGGGGCAGGGAGGGGAGAGTTGGGGGGCACGGCTCAGGGAAGGTTTGTGGGGGCTCAGGATAATGGGATCAGGCTGAAGAATGATAAGACCCCGGGCTAAGACTGTGCTCCTGGCTTCCTCTTGGATGGCGGAGGACAAATCTTTTCAGTAAGGGATTTGCTTCAGCTGTGAAATAGGGGCCATACCAGACTCTCCTATGCCATCTTTCATTGTGTTTCAGCAACAGCAACACTATCAACTATTTCAAGTGGAAAAAACTTTAGATCGATGTACATGTACATATATAATGTATATTTGTTCTAAAATAGAACAATGAAGACCTCAGAGATGCACAAATTGTGTCAGCTTCTTTTACTGCACCCTCTACCTGAACTAGTCATCTTGTGAGGAAAAGAGGGTTCTTTTGGCTCAAAATTTCAAAGCTTCTGACTCTTGCCTGGGTGGACTCGTTGCTTTTAACCCCCTGGCAAATGGGTTATGGGAAGGAAAGGGCAAGAACCGAGCAGGTATGGCCAGGAAGTGAAAAGAGGCCAGGTAGTGGGTATTCCCTCCGCCTCTCTCAGGCCAGATAGCCCAAGGCCATGGGCGGAGCCAGCAACCACCACAGAGTATTGGAAACAAATGGGGGTTCTGTGACTCCCTCTGAAGGCATGCCTGTAGAACTTCATCTCTTAAGGGGTTTCACCGTTTCCCAAATGCACCAGAGACTGAGCCCTTAATTTAACGCATGGGCCTCTGGGAGATCTTCTGGATCTTCTTTATAGCAGCTGTGTTAACCTAGGAAGTGCTATAAAACAAGGGCATCTCTAGGTGGGACAGTTCTTGATCGCAAGCGTGTGTGTGTGTGTGTGTGTGTGTGTGTGTGTGTGTGTGTGTGTGTGTAGATGGAAGGGGGCACTGTTTAGCAGCTTCTCTGGCCTCTATATTAGGAAACACTAGTATCATTTTCCACCCCCTTTGCCACAATCTAGAATATATCCAGATGTTGCCAGGTGTTACTTGGAGAGGGCAAAATAGCGTCCTGTTTAAAACAAACAAATTGGTTAGAGAGATGGCTCATCCTTTAAGAGCACTTGTCGCTCTTGCAGAGGACCCAGATTGGGTTCCCAGCACCCACATGGTGGCTCACCACTGTCTGTAAAGGGATCCGACTCCCTCTTCTGGCCTCTGCTGGCACTGCATGCACATGCTGCACAAAAAATACATGCAAAACTACCTATATACATAAAATAAAAATAATTTGGGGCTGGAATGATAGCTCAGTGATTAAGATCACCAGCTGCTCTTGCAGTGAACCTGAATTCAGGTCCTAGCATCTACATGGTGGCTCGCACTTGCTCCAGTTCCAGGGATCTAATGCCCTCTTCTGACTTCCACAGGCACCCATATGGTGGCTCAGCCATCCATAATTCCAGATCCAGGGGATCCAGTGTCCCCCCCCCATCTCCATACATACACGAAGGCAAAACACTCATAAACACAAAGTAAATTCATCTAAAAATAAAATAAAATAATTTTTTAAAAAGCATCAGGATTAGGGATATGCCCCACTAGGCAAAGTACTTGCTGAGCAAATGTGAGGACTGGAATTGGATGCCCAGTACTCACTTAAAAACAAGTAGGTGTGGTGGCCCACCTGCAGTCCTAGACTGTAGCAAGTGGAGACAGAGGATCCCCAGAATAGGCTGGCTAGCCAAAACACTGAGCTGTGGGTTCAGGGAGAACCCTTCCTCAATATATAGAGTGGAGAACCATTGAGAAAGGCACCCGTCATCAGCCTGGGGCCTCTTCACACAGGACACACATGCTCATACACATTCTAGCATGCAAATACACATACACACCATCCACGTCAACATTTGCAAAGGGAAACGTGCATTCAAACAGTAAATACCAAATTCAGGGCTATAACCGAGGAAGGGACGTTTGGGGGAAGGGAACCCCAGGGGAGAAGTTCACAGAAATTTCAATTATATTTGTGAAATTTCCTTCCTCTTCCTGCCCTCCTCTTCTCCCTCCCTCCCTGCTCTTCCACTGAGCTGCAGGCCCAGCTCTTGATTTAGGTAGCTATGAGAAAGCTGGGAATTTGGATGCTGTTTACTATGGCTCCTCGCATCATTTTACTTTGCCTACTGAGGCAGGGTTCCATGTGACCCGGCTGGCCTGCAGCTCACTGTGTAGTCAAGGATGACTTCGAACCCCTGATCCTCCTGCTTCCATCTCCTGAGGAGGAGCTGGAATAGGTGTGTGCCGCCATAGCTAGATTATATACTGCTAGGGCTCAAACCCAGGACTCTAGGTATGCCAAGTAAACAGTTAGATTCCATCCTGAAATAGTTAGATTCCACCCTGCAATAGTTAGTTTTAAAGTATTTCTTTCTGGTTTTATTTATTTTTATTTTTTATTTTTATTTTTCAAAACAGGGTTTCTCTGTTTAACAGCCCTCGCTGTCCTGGAACTAGCTGTGTAGATCCAGGATGGCCTCGAACTCACAGAGATCCACCTGCCTCTGCCTCCCGAGTACTGGGATTAAAGGAGTGCACCGCCACCACCTGGCAAATGTGTGCATATAGCACTACAGGGGTAGACACAGGATTATCAGGAGTTCAAAGTCACCCTGGGCTACATAGTGAGTTCCAGGCCATCCTGGGCTAAATGAGACCCTGTCCCAAAGATGAAAAATAACCGGGCCTGGATCAGCTGTTCTGTGTTGGAAGGAGTTAGCATATGAGTTGACTCTTTTCTTCTGATGGGACTCCTAGGAGCTGGCAGAAAAGGCGACGGCTCCAGAAGTCAACCCCAATTATGCCACGGAGAGAGAGTTGGAGAAAATGAATGTTTGCTTCGCTCTCCAGGATAAGGTCCTGGAACGGCTGCTGTTCAGCGAGATGAAGCTGAAGGCCTTGGAAAATCAGATGTTCATCATATGGAATAAACTGAATCACCGCCGGTGGCACAGCAGACACCGGAACTTCTCCAGGAGGTGGCACAGGAAAAGAAGGAATGACTCTACTTTCTCCATCGTCTCTAACTACACCACCAACACCCCCACCGAATGCGACTGAAATGGCCTGGCCTCTGCTGGATGTGATCTTCACCCAGTGTCTGAGTCGGTTTTGTTGTCATCGCTATAACGAAATACCCGAGCCTGGGAACCTCTAAAGAAAAGAGCTTTGTTTAGTTCACAGTGCTGGATGGAGGTCCAAGAACACAAGCGTGCGGCGGCTTTTTTGTGAGTTCTTCAAAGAACTCAAAGACGGTAGCATCACATTTTGTGTGTGTGTGTTTGTGTTGTGTGTCTGCGTAAGAGAAAGACAGACAGAAGACAGAAACAGAGAGACAGACAGACAGAGACAGACACACACAGAGAGATATCAGTTGGTGTGTGAGAAAATAAGAGAGCCAAGAAAGCCAAAGCTGCTTTATGACAACATCTCCCGCTTCAGGGGATGTAGCTCAGGGGTAGAGTATTTGCCTACGATGTGTAAGGTCTTGGGTTCAATCCTTAGTATTTCCAAAATGAAGAGAACGCGCTACTCTCTTCAGCTCACTGGGTTAAGGCACTTCCCATCCCTGAGTTCGATTCCTAGAACCCACATGGTCCGGGGAGAGAACTGAACCCCGCAAACTGTCCTCTGACCTCCACACTTGTCAGGAACATACACATGAACACACACACAAGACAATAAGATAAGAACAACAAACACCTTCTCTCCTCTTGAGGTAACCAGTCCAGTCCCAGACTGTTGCTGGGATTAAAAACAAAACAAAAACACCGTGATTAAAAGCAACCTGGGGAGGAAAGGGATTACTTGGTTTACAGGTTACATCATCAGGGGAAACCGAGGCAGAAACTCAAGGCAGGAATCTGCTGAAGAGCTGAAGCAGAGAGCATGGAGGGGCACTGCCTACTGCCTCAGTCAGACTCTTTTCTTTTTAATTTTTTTCTTTTGAGGCAGAGTTTCACTATACAGACCCAACTGGCCTGGACCCGCTCTGTAGACCAGGCTGACTCTGAACTCACAGAGATCCATTTGCCTGTGACTCCCGAGGGCTGGGATTAAAGTTGTGCGCCACCGTATCTAGCCCTCAGCTACCTTTCTTATAAAGCTCAGGTCCACTTCCCAGAGATGCTGCTACCCACAGTGAACAATCAAGGAAATGCCCATGGACCAACCTGGAAGGGACAACTCTTAAGTTAAGAGTCCCTCCTCTCAGGCATTGCACTGACAACCAAAATTAGCCACCACACCACTCTCGCAGAGGGCCTAGAACCTGTTCCCGGTGCCCGTATCAGGCAGCTCACCACCACCTGCAGCTCCCGCTCTGGGGATCCAGTGTCCTTCTCTGGTCCTCCTGGGCACCTGCACACATGTGGGATACACATACTCACACAGGCGCACACACACACATTTAAAAAAGAAATCTTGAAACATTGTACCTCAGTTCTTTATGCATGTGCATGCATCCTGAGGATCCGACTCAGCAGGCTTGGCAGCACGTGCCCGCACCCGCGGAACTGTCTTGCTGGCCTTGAACTGTACTTTTAACTTGGTGTGCTCCTTAGACTTGTTTCTCAACTCTGTTTTGTCATCAGAACTTTGTGGCGGGGGCAGATACCGCGTTTTTTTCCTCCGGTGACTGGTTAGAGTGAATTTAGCAGCAATACAGCTGTTACTGCTCTGAGTGACAGCTGGAGCCAGCCGTCCATGCAACTTCCTACATGTACCTTTGCCTAGGAATCTCAGCTAGAAGATGGCCTACAGTTCATTACTCTTCTTTTTTACATTCTATCTTCTCCCTTTTTTTTTTTTTAATATGTATGAGGGTTTTGTCTGCACATGTATATACATACACCACCTCTGTGTCTGGTTCCTCTTAGACCAGAAGCTGGAGATGAGTTCCCAAGAAGTGGAGTTATAGGTGGCTGTGAGCCTCCATGTGGATACTGGGCATTGAACTCAGGACCTCTGGAAGAGCAGCCAGGGCTCTAAACCACTGTGCCGTCTCTCCAGCCCATGTTTTGCATGCTATATTCTTGTATATTAGTCTAAATAAATGAAAGAAAAGTTTAAACGTTGTCAATGGGGCCTGGGAATTCGCTTGGTTGGTAGAGTGCTGGTTAAACATACATGAAGCCCTGTGTTTGAGCCCCAGCCCTGTATAATCTACGTGTGGAGGTCCAGGTCTGTGATCTCAGCACTCGGGAGGTAGAGGCAGGAGAATTAGAAGTTCAAGGTCATCAGCTACTTAGTAAGTTTGAAGGTAGTCTGGGCTACAAGAGACCCTGTCACAAAAAATAAATAATAAATAAATAAATAAATAAATAAATAAATAAGGAGGAGAGATGATGACTCTTGTTAGTAAGCACAGAATATGAATTCAGTGCTCAGAACCCACGGAACAAGAACCTGACATGGTGGTCTACGCTGGTAATCTCAGTCCCGAAAGGCAGAGATGGGGGGTGCCTGGGGCTCACTGGCCAGCAAGCCTATTTGGTGAGAAAGGTAGACAGTAGCTGAGAAAAGACAGCTGAAGTTGTCCTCTGAACTTCTCTCTCTCTCTCTCTCTCTCTCTCTCTCTCTCTCTCACACACACACACACACACACCCCGCTTGCACGTGGCATACCAAGAGATAAAAGGTAAGCAAATGTGGAATGAGCAACTAGCACCAGAAATTCTTTTAAGAACCAGAAAGGGAACTGCCAGCTTACGTGAACTCATTGTGACCCCAAGCCACCCAGCATGCCCCCTAAAAATCATCTCTCATGTCATGCTCTACAACCTGCTTAGGTTACCAGCCAGTCCTCATGGGCGTCCCCCCCACCCCGTGTTTGCTTGTGTGGTTTTTCTCCCCCTGAAATCCCCCACCTATCGTATCTGCTGTTTTAATCCATTCTCTTCCAAAGTCAGCACCTCCAGACAGCTTCACTGCAGCCAGCAAGGAACAGAGACGTCACAACTGCTTCGAATGACTTCTATCGTGGGGTATTTGTACCCCATGTGAAGACGTCGTGCTGTGGTCGGTGTACTAAACTGCTGAATGGCTGAGAGCGAGGCAGGAGTATAGGCGGGACTTCCGGGCAGAGAGAGAGAACTCTGGAAGGAAGAAAGGCAGGTTGTCAGCCAGACATGGAGGAAGCAGGATGGGTGGTAAGGAGATGAGGTGATGAGCCATGCGGAAGAACACAGATTAAAAAATATGGCTTAAGTTAAGTCATAAGAACTAGTTAAGGGCTGGAGAGATGGCTCAGTGGTTAAAAGCACCAACTGTTTTTCCAATTCCTGGGTACAATTCCCAGCATCCACAAGGCTGCTACCAACTGTCTTTAACTCCAAGATCTGACACCTTAACACAGACATACATGTAGGCAAAACACCAATGCAAATAAAATAAAAATAAATAATTTTTAAGAAGGACTAGTTAGAGCTGGGCGGTAGTGGCACAGGCCTTTAATCCCAGCACTTGGGAGGCAGAGGCAGGTGAATTTCTGTGAGTTTGAGGCCAGGACAGGGTGCAAAGCTACAGAGAAACCCGGTCTCAAAAAACAAAAGCAAACAAACAAACAAAAGAAGAACCAGTTAGGAACAAGCCTAAGACAAGCCGAACTATATTTAATAGTACAGTCTCCTGCTGTGGTAAATGCTCTTTAAAGATTTGTCACTCATATTGGTTTAATAAAATGCTGATTGGCCAGTAACTAGGCAGGAAATGTAAGGGGGGGGCAAACTAAGAGAATTCTGGGAAGAGGAAAGGCAGAGAGTCAGTTGCCACCCAGACATGGAGGAAGTAACACAAGAAAGCTGCACTGATAAACGGTACAAAGCCACGTGGCTAAACACAGGCTAATAGAAATGGGCTAAATTAAAAAGTAAGAGCTAGCTAGAAATATGCCTGAGCCATCAGCCAAATAGTATTGTAATTAATATCGTTTCTGTGTGGTTATTTGGGTCTAGGCATCCGGGAAATGAAAGAGCAGTCTCTGTCAACAAATGACACAGAACGCGGGAGGTTTGGGTCCAGCTCTGGCCTGGGCCGGTGGCTAAAAAGCCTCCGGCAAACAACTGTTTTTCATAAATCCATGCCCCAAAAGTTGGGTGCCAAATAAAACATGATTGATAAAAACTCAGAGACTGAAATTGGGGTTCAACCTTAAGATCTGAAAAGCAAGCCAGCCAACTGGTACCTTGACCTCAGTCTGAAAATGGCAATCCTCTCTCCAGGAATCTCAGAACGAGACTGCGTCAGAGAGCTGTTCCCTGCCATTTTATACTCCTCTCCAGGGCTGGGATTAAAGGCGTGCTCTCCCTGGGACCACTGTGTTACTCAGTGTCTGTGCCCACATCTCTAGGGTGGTGTCTTCAATCAGCCGTGTACAGCTGAGGTCCAAGAAGAGACAGAAGAGCTGACCAGAGTCACGCCATTACTAAGGAGCACTGCTGTAGCACAAATCCTAATGGGTTTTAATAATAAAATCCAGGAGTCAGATATCAGGGTAAATGCTGAAAGATCAGAGAAGCAGAGCGGCCAGCCACTAGTTCTTACCTCTACTGAATCCTCAGACCGAAGGGGCCATCTTGTTAGGAAACCTCAGACTGAATCCTGAGCTCCTGTCTTTTCCTGCCTTCTGTTCCTCTCTTCCCGCCCAGCCACATCACTTCCTGTCTCCACCTCCCTAGTGCTGGGATTAAAGGTGCTGGTTACCACTGCTTGGCTGTGTCTCTTTTAGAATGATTCAATCTCGCATAGCCCAGGGAGGCCTTGAACTCACAGAAATCTGTCTGCCTCTGTGACCTGAGTGCTGAGATTAAAGTGTGCCACCTCTGCCCTGCCTCTATGACTAACTAGTGTGGCTAGCTCCATACTCTGATCTTCAGGCAAGCTTTATTTGTTAAAGCACAAAAAATATCACCTCTGCACAGAGGTCCTGCAATGGGTAAGCCTTCGCTACGCAGTCAAAGGAGCTTGTTTCCCCAAAGATCAAGAGACAGCTGGAGGCTGGAGAGATAGATGGCTTAGCAGTTAAGAGCACTGGCTGTTCTTCTAGATGGCCTGGGTTCAAT